GTATCCGAGACATGTCTGGATTGATCAAGTTCAAACTTCACACACACATGGTACATCATGTCATAAATAGATATGTGCATTTGTTTCATGATCTGCTTAACAATAGCGGAATGATGGCCATTTTAAGGCCGAAAATGCATCAAAATCACATATTTTCACAATTCCAGAACCGGATCTCAGTCATGCATGGATGGATTTTGTTCAGATTTAGCACAATGTGTTGTACATATGCAGGTGCATTTCGGTCATGATCTGCTTTGAATGTATATGTCACTCAAATATGAACGGAACGGGGACGTGTCATTGACAATGACTTGTTATTCAATGAAATACACTTTTTACATGCATATTTGTAATAAATGTCATTGACGCCTGGTAAAAACACCCTGGGCTTGTACTCCGGGATGCCCTCAATTTGTTAAATGTCTAAAAACAGAGGGGGTGGGCTTATACTCGGGGAGGGGCTTATACTCGGGAGGGGCTTGTACTCGGGGAGGGGCTTATACTCGGGCAAGTACGGTAATTGCCTCCCGTGAAATACTAGTACTTCTGCTAGAATTTGTTTTTTGTGTGTAAGGAATGAATGGCCAAATAGAATGATTTTATTTTCATGCGAAACAGCGTCATCGTTTATTTGTTTCTTTTATTGTGGATGAAAATAAACGTTTTTACACAGCAATTTTTTACTGCTTTAGCATTTCTAAACTGAGCTATAACAGTCAACATGTTTCTTGTTTAATAGGCTACATCTATTGTACCACAACAAACTTCCTTCAAAAATTCTTTGATATTAATTTTGATAAATTAGTAATCTTTCATTGATTTTTTGATTTTTCACACTTTGCAGATAAACAAACCAATGCTGTTCATGGTGGAGACTCTCCTGAAAATGCAGCAAAAGAATTGAATATATTCTTTGGTCCACAACCACAAAAAAATACAGCAAAACTGTTAGATTGCACTTGTTGTGTAATAAAACCTCATGCAGTCAGTGCAGGTAAGTTGGCCTAAATAGTCTCTTTTTTTTAATGGGAAAACAAATAGTTAGATATCCTTGCCAATCCAAAGTGGTCACCATTTTGGCATTTAATGCTTTGGGGATAAAATAAAGGAAACTATTGAGTGACACCATTGTCTCTCTTGACATTTTTTTTGTAAGTGCAAATTGCAAGTGCTAGTGCTGACACATAGTGCATTTTGCCACAGAAGTCATATTCATATTTGGGACTACATGACAGGGCTGTGCGGTCATCTTCCAATCAAATGGCAATTTAATGCGCTATCCTGGCGTCATCAAGGGTCGGTCCAACACAAGCACCTGTGAACCTTAACCTGATGTTCAGCCCAAAGTAGGATTTGAACTTGGGTCTACCGATCATGAGTCTGACAGGTGCATATTGATTATCTATTATATAAAAAAGTCAGATCTAAATTGAATTCATCACAGAGGTGCTCTGGAATTGGACTAAAAACCATGGATGAAAATTCAAATCTTTTCTGTAAGTATTATAAATTTTGATAATGTGAATCACATTATTTTCAAGTTGTGCATCTCAAATTGCAGACAAATATTAATTGCCAAGCTTTCCCATTTGAAAAGCAAATCTTAAATTTTGAATTACATGTAATTTCAATGTGTCAATAGTTTCAGCAGACGGGAATTCTTTTTAAGCTTTCTTTGATTTACTCCCTGTTTAGACGCAGTCCGAAAACGGGGACTTATGGATTGACCTCTGTGTGTCCATGTATGTGTGTGTCTTGGACATGCCTGGACCGATTACATTCAAACTTCACACTGACACCATACATAATATTATACATATGCACATCAATTTGTTTCACGATCTGATTCAAGATGACCGAATGGTGGCCATTTTTGTATTGAAAAATCATGAAAATCAAGCATTGCTCAGATGTTTACAGATGGATTTTGTTCAAACTTTTTACATGCTTTGGACATTATGGGACCTTGATACACGTCATTTTATTTTTGACTCCCATGTGCAAAGCACACAATGGGAATTTTGCAGTTAGTTTGTGTGTGTGTGTGTGTGTGTGTGTGTGTGTGTGTGTGTGTGTGTGTCAGTCAGTCAGTCAGTTCCACTGATATCTCAAGAACCATGCTCTTGGCCAATGCGCAGATTTGATTAGGTTTTAGTAGAAATTCATGCATATTAATTACCTAATTTGCATGATAATTAGCTAATTTTTAGCTGTTCCATGACTGTTCCACTGATATCTGAAGAACCACTCATTGGATTTTGATAAAACTTGGTACATAGATGCTCTGAACTAATGCCAGGTTTTGATTAGTTTTGGGTGAAAATCTGTGCATATTAATTACCTAATTTGCATAATGATTAGTAAATGTTCGGCTTTTCCACTGATATCTCAACTACTAATCATCACATTTCAACGAAACTTGGTACCTAGATGTCATAGGACACTGCACAGACCTAGTATGTTTTAGGGTAATATCAGTACATATTAATTACCTAATTTGCATCATTAGTTAATATTCGGATTTTCACGTATATCTCAAGTACTAATCATCACATTTCAATGAAACTTTGTACATAGGTCCTCTAGGACTATGCAGAGACCTGGTCAGTTTTGGGGTGAATAATTGTGCATATTAATTACCTAATTTGCATAATTATTTAATTTTTAGCTTTTTCACTGATATCTCGATTACTGATCATCACCTTTGAATGAATCTAAACTATGCAAAGAGCCAATTAGTTGTTGATATATATTTATGCATATTAATCTCCTAATTTGCATAATTAATCAATTTTCAACATTCACACTGATATCTCAAGTACTAATCATCACATTTCAATGAAACTCTGTACTTAGATGCTCTAGGACAATGTACAAATATGATCAGTTTTAGGTTAAAATTAGACTGTCGACAGTCTAATGTAATGCCTAATGTAATTGTGTTTTCTAGACATTCGGACGTCGTAAATGTTTGATGGAAAATGCGAAACATTTCACGTGAGGGACTTTAGCTCTGAGGGACTGTCCCCGTCTGCAGGTTTCTAGTTGATATGAATAATTCATAGTTGATGCTGACGTGACGAATAAAATTATATTAACATAATGTATGAAAATGTAATTCACTATGTTCAATTACCCACCATAGACTCAGTCAGTCAAAACTACTATTTTGAACTGTAGGCATTCATTCGATTCTGCCAATGACTGAGAGATAGAATCTAGGTCAGGGAAAGCCCCATGACCCCAAGATTCTTTTCTCTTACGTCACGAACAACGTGACCGAGGCCATATGGCGGCACCATTAGGGCTGGCTAATCACTCTGATTTTTCTCCGCCTCGTGTGGAGATGAAATCTAGCGCTTGGATCGCTTGCTTTTTTACTGTACGGGTCTCTAGTTTTGGTTGTCGCTAGGCGGCATCCGACATTGTAGCTGGTAGGATAAGTTTTTTTGTCATTTGTTTTCCCCTTTGTGTGTAGCATTTTTCACAACAATTAAATAAAACCCGGACGTCGTAGCTTATTCACTTGTTTGCGTTACGTCACCTTTTACTACTGTAATTTGCTTCCCTCATGTACCGGTATGTAGTCTTCATTTTATGCTTGATCTACGCATTTAGAAATGAATAGATGTAATGACAGCACCAGGACTCGCTGCCGTTTTTTGGTCTCCTTGTTTTTGACCTAACTGTGCAGTATTTACCAGCTTAAAACCTGCGTTCGATATGCTTTTTGCTGTGGCTGCGTGCAGGGGTTGGGGTTTTTGCCTTTTGCCTTTGCCCCGTGCGTTTTTCACTGGAGTTCTGAGGCCTGATATATTTTTTCAGAGCCATCAAAATTGCTGAGACTGACCGTGTCGCTCGTATTTTCACAGGAAGGTCGGGCGTCCAGTAAAAATCGGTTAAAGTGAGTTGCGTGTTTGGCATGAGTGGAAAGTTCTCGCGCTCGGCTACCATTGCTTCGCATACCGGGATGTCAAGCAGGAGGCCCGACAGTGGAGGTACTGATATTTTTTTCGGTCTCCCCCCGCTGATCGGAGGGCATCCTCACAGTCTGTGTTTTCAGGCAGTGGTTTACCCGATGTTACCGCCTACAGCAAGGCTGTGCCCCTGGAGGTTTTTCCTCCTATGGGGCCCGTTGCGGGACCCTTAGTAGATCCTTCCTCGCAATGCGCCGGGTTTGCCTCCGAGTTGATGGCTTTGGTCGAAGGACTGTCGGGGCAAATTGCGTCCCTGGCAGGCCGGGTAGATCAGACGCAGTCGGAGCGAGCTGTCTTCACTGCGGCCCCACGATGGGCAAGCAGGAAGAGACTCGAAAACATCGTTTGCATTCAAACACACCTCTTCAGGGGAACCCCCTGTTCCCAGTCACGGCTCTCCCACTAATTTGGGGGAGGCCGAGGCTCGGGCTAGTTGCACCGGGTCTCCTCTAGGGCCTCGGACATTGAATGCCAATGGGGTGCTGGCAGCCAAGCCTCCGATCCCGGGGCGGGGCTTTCAGGGCAGGGCACACGTTGCACCCCCTATTTTCCAGGGTTCGTTGCGCAGTAATGGTACAACGGTAACGAATTTACCCTTGTGTCTGGTCTCCGCTGTGGGTTTTGACTCCCTTCTTACCGACTCATGGGCCTCCCCAGAGGGAACTGACCCTGTCATGAGATGCACAGACGAACACGCTCTCTCTCACATATTGGAAAGTGGAAATTGAGACACAGTTCGCTTGCGTCGGATACAGCCAGTACCTCGGGCGGTCCCTCAGAGTCTTCCATCTGTAACGACTCGGTGAGCCACAATCCTAGTGATGTAAATACCCCCACCCTTGATCCTAAGGCGACCACTTACGGTTGCTTCAACGCTTATTGGATCACGGGCGCCGGGATCCAAAGCAACCCTGACGGCACATCTCTCCCTGTCCGTCAGAGTGCGGAGTGGGACACAGGGCGCGCAAACGGTGTTGATGGTCGAACGTTGGTCAGCCGCGAAGGAGGTGACGCTTAAGACCCTCGGGTGGGGTAAAATCTTATGCAACACTTTCCGCTGGACCAAATGCTACCCGGTCGGTGTGGTTTCGCTATCAGACCCCAAAATGTGGGATCAGACAAAAATAACCCCAACCAGATCCCAAGGCTCCTTCCCCAGACCCTGGAACCACGAATTTCCGTTTCGCAAACCGGGTAAGGGGGGACAGCCACGTTCCATGAGTGTTCTCGCCAGCTCAATCTGAGACCATCCATCACGCCCTGAGGGCAAAGTTGCTTGAGTGTATTATTGTGCGCGCACAGGACTTTAGTAAATTGACAAGTCCCATCTTTAACCAATGCGCAGTTTGTGTTCCTGGGCATGGAGTTTGACACAGAGGTAAGCTTGGTATAGCTATTTCAAGCATGTTGCATAGCACTAAGCACCCTAGCCGAACGCCTAGTCAGTGTTTCCTCAGTGTCCCTCCGAGGTTGGGGAGCGCATCTATTGGACGAACAAGCCCAAGGATATGGCCCCCGCATTAGTTTCAAGACTACCATATCAACCGGCTGGAACTGAAAGCAGTGCACTTAGCACTACCACGCTTTCTACCTGTAGTTCAAGACCACACAGAGTCCTGCTCCGCACAGGCAGCGCAGCGGTGGTCTCCTTCAAGAGGGGGGGGACACATTCCCCATCGTTGTCAGTCCTAGCGGAGCAAATCCTCCTTTAGTGCCTGGAATACAATGTGGAGCTAACCGAACACCATCTTCCAGGGGTGAGGAACAGTCGGGCAGACGTCCTTTCAGGGCGGCTCAGTCTCCAGAACACGGAGTGGCTGATACCCCAGTGGATAGCCTCCAGGCTGTTTCGGCTGTGGGACGGTCCAAGGTTAGACCGATTTCCTCCCTTCCCGCTAGTTTACCGGGCACCGGAGAAAACTTTGACAGATGCACCCCTGCATATTATCATTGGTTGCACCCAATTGGCCAAGCAAGGCCTAGTTTCAACTTCTGTCGGAAATGCTAGTCAAAACACCAGTAGTGCTTCCGGACTTACTCGACATGCTGTCCCAACTGGACGGCGCACTACTAATGAGCCCAGTGGGTATCCCTTACACGCATAGAGGCTCCCAGTAGACCTGCACATACGAAAGCTTTATCTGAGTGGGCTGCCAACGTCCTGGCCAGGGCAAACAGGGATTCCACCAACGCGGCCTACATTTCTAGGTTGCGAGCATACACTGATTCGTTTAGCGGAAGGGAGATTGATCTATACCATCCCTCTATTGGCTAGGTAGCAGGTTCTTTCGTCTACCTGTTTGACGAAGTGGGTTTGTCCTACGCAGTGATCATTGGCTACAGGTCGGCCTCGTCCCCCACCATTGAGAACGTGTGGTAACAAGACTAGCCGATTGTCCTATTATTAGGAGACTATTTACTGCTTTCCAGACGCCGAGACCCTATACAAGGGAATCGCCCAACTGGGACTTGTCAATTGTGTTGTCCGCAGACCGCCCTTTAAGCTTCTCCGATCAGCACCACTCAAATTTTTGACCTGGATAACTGTACTAAGGATTCAGAACGGGGTGCCAGACACATGTCTTTTTATGTTACGGACCAGGCAGGCAGGATAGGCCGGCCTCCCTAACTTCCATCACCAGGTGGTTTACTGCGACTGTATTAGAGGTCTATAATACTTTAACTGCCTCGACACAGAGCTAGCAGAGACACCAAGTACAAGCGCATGAGGTCTGTGTGATTGCCAACTCACTAGTGCTAGCGTCAGCCCCCCCCCCCCCCTTGAGCACATACGAAGGGTAGGCTTCTGGAGAACACCTTTACGTCTTTATCAACTACCACCTAAGAGACACCGAATCCATTGAGGAGGGTCTCTTCAGGTGATGCTCAGTTTATCTTTTGAAAACAACTATTTTTAATATTTGAAAAAAAATCATGCCGTTTTACCATCAAGCCAAAAGATCGTACTACATCATCAACAAATCTCTTCCGCGTTGTGTTCAATAACATTAATGAGGTATGGTAATTTAAACATGTTGGCATCATCCAGCATTTTGAACGGTTAATTAGCGATTGGACCTATTAGATCAACTCATGCAAGAGAAGAACATGACGGATACTCAACAGCATCAAGCGTTCATATGCGACCGAAAGCATAACAATTCAACAAATTTATTTTTTGTGCGGTGTAATAATCAACAATTGTTAAAACTCAGCAAGACCAGATTGCGCAACCGTGATCATTTGCTGCTACGCAATGCAATTGTGTTAGTTTTTTTAAAACTTCCTACAGGCCTTGATCATAATTTTTGAAAAATGTGTTTTTATTTTGTGAAAGATGACAAATAGTGATTTTGACACTGTTAGGGATAAAGTATAATAGGTTGTATTCATTTAGAATGACTTACTTTCTATATTTTGATAGGTCATGCAGGAAAAATCATTATAGCAATTCAAGATGCTGGTTTTGAAGTGTCCGCATTGCAGATGTTTAATATGGAAAGGGCAAATGCAGAAGAGTTTTTTGAAGTTTATAAAGGTGTTGTTGCCGAATATACAGTAAGTTTTTAAATCTTTATTATAGATCCATCATAAGTTTTTCTCAGTGTTGCATAGTTGTTATAACTCGTTCTAAGCCATTTCATAATAGTGCTCTATCAGTTAGTAAGTTAACATGTTAAATTAATCGTAATCAACGAAGATTGACTATGCAAATGAGCCAAAATGCTCTACGATATTGAACACAGGTTTAATTCTAGCTTAGCCGCTGCTTAATGACTTGCATAGCTCCATCTGCAAATACTAGAAATGAAATTCATAAGGACTTAATTATAATGACTCAACGGTAATTTAATGTGCTCATTCTCCATAGCAGCATGAAGCTTTTTTTTAGCTCCGCTGTCGACTTTGTCGAGCGGAGCTTATCATATGAGTGATCGTCCGTCGTCCGTGTCAATGTTTTACTTTTTCGACTTCTTCTTGAAAACTACAAGCCTGAATGCTTTGATACTTGGTGTATATGTACCTTGGGTAGACCTCTCTGAGGTTTGTTCATTTCATGTTGATATCTTCAATTCTCTAATTTTGGTGAATATTTTTGTCATTTTTGGTAAAAAGTGATATTTTCGACTTCTTGCTAAAAACTGTAAGTCCGATTGCTTTGATATTACATATATAGGTACTACATGTGGACTTCTCTCAGATTTGTTCATTTTGTGATGATATCTTCAATTCTCTAATTTTGGTGAATATTTTTGTCATTTTTGGTGGAAAGTGGTATTTTCGACTTATTGTTAAAAACTGTAAGTCTGATTGCTTTGATACTATACATATTGTTCATTTTCTAATGATGTCTTCAGTTCTTTTATTGAAATGTGCATTGCTAACAGCGGAGCTATCTCAGCCGATAGGCTGCTTGTTTAGCTTCATTATAACATGAATTTCAACAAGATTTTAGTTCTTCGCTCAAGTAATCGTTCAAACACTGGGAGAATATAATAATTGCATCTTGGTATTTAAAGTACTCCTATTGCACTGCATGTGTTATTATATAGGTTTGGTTTTCACACACTCGTTTAACAATTCCATACAGTACAGTTCTCGCGAAGGCTTTGGCTTCACTTCAGCGTCAGCTTCGCTTCAGCAGCGCATCATTATGGCAATGTTATGGCTTCATCGTCGCATCAATGTCGCGACATTAAAAAGTTAGGCGGTTATCGCTTTGCTTCATTGTGGCCTCATTATGGCAACAATGTGGCATCAGCATCGCCTCATCAAACAACGAAGTACAGTAATCATTTGGCCCAACCTCTCGCCCGCTTCCGCGTTTTAATCGCTGTATGTGACCGCTTGTTGAATTATTTTCAACCGTGCAAAAATTCAGACTACTAAAAATTGTTTGGTTTTTATAGATCACGATTACTAGTTTAGTACCACAACCGTCAAAAGTTCAAATACTTTTTGTTTTAACTATCTATAATTATATGCAAGCAATCTGACCCTTTGACCTAGATTTGGCTGGGATTGTATATTTAGCTCAGCTGTCGACTTTGTCGAGCGGAGCTTATCATATGAGTGATTGTTCGTCGTCGTCCGTGTCAATGTTTTACTTTTTCGACTTCTTCTTGAAAACTACAAGTCTGAATGCTTTGATACTTGGTGTATATGTACCTTGGGTAGACCTCTCTCAGATTTGTTCATTTCATGATCATATCTTCAATTCTCTAATTTTGGTGAATATTTTTGTCATTTTTGGTAAAAAGTGATATTTTCGACTTCTTGTTAAAAACTGTAAGTCCGATTGCTTTGATATATTACATATATAGGTACTACATGTGGACCTCTCTGATTTGTTAGTCCCCGTTCGGACGAAGTCCGAAAACGGGGATTTATAATTCGGTCTCCGTCCGTGTGTCCGTGCGTCCGTCCGGAGTCATATCTCAGAATCCCTTGGACCGATTCCGTTCATTCTTTGCATGTGCCTAGTACTTTATGTGGGACATATGCACATGCAGTGGTTTAGCGATTCGATTCAAAATGGCCGACTGGCAGCCATCTTGTTTTTTGAAAATGTTGTATTTTGGACATGCTTTGTCAGTTTTCATTCAAACTTGGTACATAGATTATACATGTTAGGATACATGTCCATGATGGATCAAAGATGGTCAACTGGCAGGCATCTTGTTTTTGTTTTTTTATGCGGTATCTTGGACGTGCTCTGTCAGTTTTCATTCAAATTTGGCACATACATGTACTTTATACATGTTAGGATGCATATCCATGACAATTTGTTTCAAAATCTGGTCAAGGATGGCAGATTGACAGCCATCTGACTTTTTGGCCTTACTACTATATTTCCACAATTTATGTACCATTTTCATTCGTATTTGGCACATACATCATACATATCAGTGTGTTTCATAATCAGATCAAAGATGGCTGAATAACGGCTGTTTTTATTTTGGCCATATTACTATGACACGAAACGCGTGTTTTGATGTAAATTAACAATCTGTTGTATACGCCACTTGGAACTCAAGTTTCAAGGACACGCTCGCGACAACCCCTTCGCTTTAATATGACGAGCACAAAGAGAACTTAACGGGGACTGTGTCATTTTCAATGACTTGTTCATTTTGTAATGATATCTTTAATTCTCTAATTTGGTGAATATTTTTGTCATTTTTGGTAAAAAGTGATATTTTCGACTTCTTGTTAAAAACAAGTCCAGTTGCTTTGATATTATTACATATATACATGTAGGTAATACATGTGGACCTCTCTCAGATTTGTTCATTTTATAATGATATCTTTAATTATCTACAGTAATTTTGGTGAATATTTTTGTCATTTTTGCTAAAAAGTGATATTTTCTTGTTAAAAACCACAATCATTTATGGTGAAAAATGATATTTTTGAATTTTTGTTGAAAACGACAAGTCCCATTGCATTGATACTATGCATATTGTTCATTTTCTAATGATATCTTCTGTTCTATAATTGAAATGTGCATTGCAAACAGCGGAGCTATCTCGGCCGAGAGGCTGCTTGTTTATTTTAGACAATATTCTGACGCGACACCCTACTACAAAATGTACATGTATTTCAACAAAAGTTTCTCTACCTGATTGTATTAATAATAATAATAATAACAACTTTATTTAATTAAGCGCAACAATTCCAACATATGAAGATCAAAGGCTCTGATACAATAAACAATCAGTCAAATATTAAAAGCACATTTAAATAAGTGTGTTTTCAGTCTGGATTTAAAAATGTCTACTGAAGGACTAGAACGAACAGACAGAGGTAATTCATTAAAAAGTTTAGAACCTAAATTTTCAAAAGCACGGTCTTTGTATAACACCTTAGACTTTTTACTACTCATCTGACGAGTTTTAATAAGAAACTTCGATTCAGATCTTAAACTACGACTCGGTACATAAAATTCGATTAATTCACATAGATAATTGGGGGCAAAACCATACAAAGATTTATACACTCGTAAAAGTAATTTGAAATTGATTCTTTGTACAACTGGTAACCAATGAAGTTTAATAAAAATGTCTGTAATGTGGTCATATTTTCGAGCACTAGTGACAAGGCGTGCTGCTGCATTTTGTACATGAATAAGAGGTTTTATCTTAGTTACAGGAAGACCAGACAATAATGAATTACAGCTGTCCAAGCGAGAAGATATGAAAGCATGAACCAACATTTCATTATCAGAT